ACAAAGGCGAGAACAATGAAGAATAACGGATTAAAAAGATATAATGTTAAAAAACATCGACAAAACGTTGTTGTTAGTATTTAAAACTTTTGAGGTTTTAGTACCGTTCGATTCGCCTAGATGAGGTGGTTACCTGGTCAAGAGATTATAAAGCGTCCAGTAGAATTAAAAAGACATTTTGCGAATACCTATACCTACCTACAAACATTAACAATAACCCTCTTCAAAGCACAAAGTTCATTGACCAGACGAAGCGTAGAAATAACATCAAAATTACTAAGATCGCTCGTTATAAACGAGCGTTAAGGTGTCTAGTATAAGAGATTGCTCTAACAATTTATAATCTGACAATATTATTTAAATATTAACACTTGGATTGATATACGATTCGTTGGTATACGTAATCGATATAAATAATACAAACGTGTGAATTTAGCTTTGTTATGGTAAGGCGTGGAACACATTGAGTGGGGCGAAAGAAGCGGCTCTTCACGATCCGGTAGTCGTCTGCAACGGCTATATTAATCATAGAGTTGACGCCTACGGGGCGTGGCCTCGACTTATTAATTCATGTCGAGTTATTAAATTCGATGCCGAAGGACATTGGCCGGCTGAGTCGACAATAGATTTGTGTGTCATTGCAATTACACAGTTGAATTTTTTATTTGACTAATGTATTAGTGCCGATTATTGTGATTAAATCATTGGGTATTCGATAGATTCAGTTATTAACTGACTGAAGATTTAAAGCTTTTAGGTATTTGATTATTAATGTCTGATGATTATCTATAGCTTCTATTGAAAAGGGTTTAATAAAATCTCTTGCATTAATTTACGATGTAAGAAATCTTCACTATAACGATTACCAATAATTTTAGAAAAAGCGCAACGGGCAATGTCCAATTTTAATAGTAAAAGAAATTAAACGTCGAAGAAATACAATGTATGTTGGTAACAAATGAAGCCACAAATAAAGTTGAACGTGTAATAACAATAAATTAATACCCCACATAACATCTTAAAGTATTTTTGCAGGCAATAAAGTGGCTGTATATTTACATTTTCCTTGGCCTTATAAGATCATCTCGTTAATGATTTATCGGGTGTCGAGCGTACTAAATGGCGTATAGCCTGGATGAAGTACTTGCTACCGTAACGGACCAAGGGCCAGTTAATTATTATCTAGTCGTAAAGCTGTTTAGCGAGAACACTATTTATTGGCGGCTAACGAAGGTTAATTGTTCGAGCCGATGCTGTTAACGACACCGCTCGAACATTTCGTATTGTATTTTTAAATTATATTTAAGTTATTACAATAATTATGAGGAAAGTGTGGGGAATCAGATGCCTCACACATTTTATTTTATACTAAAGATTAAAGACGGAGACACACCTTGCGCTTGATAACATCAGAAATATTATTATGGTTTTGTAGAGATGTTTTCCTAGATATAAAGGTAGAAAATCTTAACATTAATCGACACAGGTAATGTCGTTACCAAAGGTAATGTAATTTGACGGACATAAATTGTAAAAGTAATAGTTATTTAATCGCAATTTAGATAGCATGAACTTCTAATTAAAAGTTTATTAGTAGTTGAGCTTCCGTACGGCTAAATCAAAATGATTAAAAATGATTAATTGATTAAAAATCACCGCTACTCGATTTCGCATCTTCAGACAGAGCTCGCTAAAATTAATTACCTTCAAATATTCACATTGCCAGTATGAGAATGAGTAATGCACTCAAAAAATAACATTAAACCGACTGGCACAGAGGTCATAACGCCGACCATTCATCATAACAACACTTGTAGACCGCGAACACTACATCATCTTCATTTGTGTATTTTATGAACGTGGTGTCAGATGTAGGTAAAAACTCGCGCTGTCCGAAGAAAGATTCGATCGAATCGATCACAGTCACATGCCTAAAATAATGCTCCATCAAGTGGTGCGCTGTATGTCTCGGCAGGGCTCAGCCACTTCTTATGGAGATGAGAGCACCGCCAGCAACACCCTTACGGCCTCCCGCTGAGCGAGACCTAACTGACGATACATAATCAAATATTTAATTCGTTCGCGATTGTAAAATACTTGTGTAACGTGTGCTGGCGAAAAGGCTTTTTTTATTAGATTGAATTTATTAACAAAAGCTCCAGAGGGTTTAGAGGAAATATCATGAATATCGACAACCAAGAAGTCGTTTTATCGATGTCATAAAGAAAATCGTGGACAGAATTATGCTTGGAACTTTATCAATAACAAAACACTAGCGCATCTTATCAATAAAACAAAGTAAGCCTCCGAGAACCGTATCTTTAGATCGGAAGCAAGCTATCCTCGCAACAAGTCAATGGATTAGAAAGCTCCGAATGTAAGTATGGTCCCGTGGGTATAAATTATTTATGTAAATTTTTTCGAAGCTTCGAAATTATATTTCAGCATCGACGTGATTAATGTTGACAGATTTTTCACTTGGCCTCACAAGTAATAACAACCAAACAAATGAAACTGACCGACTCGACCTAAATTGCTGCTTATTATTCCTCCTTAAGTTCATTAAAATTTCCCTGGTAACGAAAGAGGATAAGTTGATTTATCAGTGAGCCGATAAAAAGTATGTCATCGTGATGTTTATTTTTTTTCTGTTATAAAAAGGATAAAAATACCAAACAGGATTGTAGGAAACAATGACAAATCCGGCATAATATTGTTCAGTCACGTAATAAGACAAAATGAATTGCTATTTTTTTCAAGTCATTGTAAATTTCAAAGGTTAGATACGAGGATTTTTAGAGATCCGTATAACATTTTAGACGCAGTGTTTAGTTGTTTAATTTTGAGTACAAATGCGTAGATATACTTGGTGTACTTGGTGTTTGCGTAATTATTAAATTATATAGGTAGAAGCCTAAAAAGCCTTAACGAATACTAAATAATTAATAAATTTAAGTCCATTAACGGCTAACAAGTAACAGCTGTGCTGTAGCAGTAGTAGATAGCAAATAAATCTGGCAGATATTTACACTTTCAAAACCAACCTTCCATTAAAAACAAACCACAGGTTCTTTCTCTTGTGAAATATTTAGAAAATTAGTAGATACGTGTTGAGAACCATGATGAAATAAAATTATTTTTTTTAAAATAACGTGATCCAATGAATCTTATTATGAACAATCCAAAGCAAGTCGGAGGCCCACCGTACTCGAGTGATATTTCCGACAAGGGCCGAGGGGCGCATGCATTTAATGAAATCAAAAGGATTAAAAGCATCTGCCTGCTTGTTATTCAAATCGATTGGGAGCTCGTTTATCATTTTAAATAAGCTACTGCTTAGATAAACCCGGGGCGTGGTTCATGTATAACAAAAGACGCGTTTCTCGGTAGCCCAATTAACTAACCAGTTATTAATGAAAAGAGGCTTGTAAACTTTTATATGGACAGAATTTCACTGTAAATTAGTATTCAGTATCAGAAATTCTTCTTTAAAGGATGTCAAACCAGTCATAAGATATAGTAAATATAGTTAGCAAATAGAAACTATAATATTTATGTTGTAATGAAACACCCCATCACAATATAGATAGGTACACATTACATAATGACAACATCGTTTAAATTCCCTTGGTGTGTCCAAATTACGAGTGATTCCAAAGCGTTCGAGCAAATGAATATCGAATGCGAACAGCTTCAAGTACAAAGTAACAACCCTAAAGCTGCGCGTTGACGCTTCGTGTTTTCCCAGAGCAAACAATCAAACAGCCAAGAGGATGGAACAAATTACGACAGCATTGTCGAGGTGTTTAGAAAATTGGGGAACAATCGTCCTGCCGAGTTAAATCTCTGATAATGTCTTTGGAGAAGTCGTATGACGGCAAGGGGATGAATAAATCTCTCTTAATTGGAACGCGCCGCGCCGTGCGACAACATAATGTGGACGCTTTGTTGCCGAGCGTGCATTCTTCGTCTTGCCGGACTGAATACACGAATCAACTGAGCTAATGACGATGGGAACTTTTGACAACCAGTCCTGACAAAATCAATGCCCCTCGACCACAATGAATTCGGACCACAAGAGCAATTGACTGTCAGATTGAAAACGTTACAAGACATTTCTGTTAAGGTAAGAAACTGCTTCTACCGCTCCAGAAAATATTCATTGTGAGATTTTTCACTCATAAAATAAGAATATCGGGCGTATGCTAACCCGCGCATTCGTTCTGGGAGCACTCACTTGTAAAACTGCTTACTTTATTGCTCCAGCGCTCTGGAAATACGAACTTCGCTTTAGTTGGCCGCACAGTGTTGTGTTCAACTTTACTACTACTACACATCGCTCGTTACATAGAAAATATTCGTTAAACTTGGCCCGGTGACGCATACATTAAAGGGTTGAGAAACCGATCGCCCGATAAGGTCCCAACGCTAGTGAAATACAAACTAGTTTAATTTGAATCGCCCAACCCAAAAAGAGGACAACCTTGTAAAACACAGGATGAGGCTATTGTTAAATATTTTAGTGTCGGTTGGGAAAGTTGATATCGTTTGATTAATCTATTTCCTATTTAAATTAGACACGAAATAGGTTATCGCTTATAATTGTTACAAGATTGTGATTATGTAAACAATAGAAACTTGTTACCGGTGTTAGTAATATTACAAGTATCATTTACATATTATATTAATCAATATGATATTCATAGACACGTCGTTCATTGGTAATATGTTTTGTTAAACGTCTATCAAAGTAACATTTAAGACATATATATCTATAATATTGACATAATTTACATGACCTGGACCTAAACTTTCCTGCGAATATGATTCCTTAGTAAAAATGCTTTCTATTTTTGTAAGCTAAGCCACAACGTCACGTGGAGTGATCATAGATAATTATATTATCAGGTGACGAAGTGGATAATCAGGCAGACAAACATAATAATATTAGATAATCATTTAATCAGTCTGTAATCATTTAATCGATTACAACTTATACTTTAAACCCCAAGAATTACGTGTGATAAGTGGGATTACTTAACGATATAGGCTTGCAAAATAATGAAAAAAGTGCAGAATGTTCCAGTACCATAGTACCAAAATTTTCATTATTACTTGACGAATTCAAACTATGCTAGTTGGAGGTAGCTATTGCGCTATATATCAATGGAGCAGATATTACACAAATGAGAGAGACAGACACAGTTTCACTCATGTTACTGATGTAACTGATGTTAAAAGAAAAAAAGGTAAATAAAAACAAAATCTGGAATGAAATCGCCCGGAACATAAAGCATCCGGTTGGCTATGTTCGTATATCAATTCCTCATGCATACAGCGGCTTCTAGATTGGGAACATCTCTCTAACATGCTTGGACGGGCCGTCGGCAGGGAAAAAACGACCGTCCATCGCGATGCCGCCGGCAAATCGCTCGGCAAACATTAGCTAAGCGCGCGTGAAATTGTCTGTGCAGAACCCGGCGTCCATTCTGCATACATTAGTTTATGGCACCAACTTCCAGCTACTCGTGTTATTTAAAGACGGCATACATGTGCTATACAAACATTTTTTCAGAAAAACACAAATTGTAACAGAAAAAGATTAGGATTAGTATGAATTAGTATTTATTTATTGTTTTCAAATACATAACATACTTAAATGTTTTATGTAGTTAAACAAAATGCGTGGTGACTGAGTAAAACACAAGCTATTACAAAACCATATATTCCATAATTTCTATACCTGCATTTCATGCTTCATAAAAAATCTCATAAGCAGCGAGGTTGAGCCCAACGATTCGTTTTTACATTGTGTTTTTATTCAATAACCGCACCATTTAAATGGAGGTCTCCTGTTACTTATACCTTTGTTGTTCTTAAATTGAGTGAAGCTGTGTGTTATAAGTGTTAACACTATAATATTTTTATGCAAAATTAAAATGACCGCATAGATAAGTAAGTAGAAACAGTTATTTATCAAACTGTTATCTCAAGTATTAGCCTCCCTTTATCTGCTCAGTAGCTGATATTGACTACATGAGTATTTGAAACTAAAATATGGCATCATAATATCAAGGTCAAATATAATTTAAGAATTTACATTCGTCTTTCAAGTGCGTTATCTCTTTATATCCAATTTATAAATGTCGTGATAAGCCTAATCCAGCATCAATTGAATAGGTACTACCAGTCATGGCTCTCGCTTTGTCACTAGCCAAAAATGTGACAAATTCTGCAATATCTTCAGTTTTCACCAGTTTATTTAGAGGCGCAGATGAAGCCTTGCTCCAGAAAGCTTCACTTTCTTCTGAGTTAACACCAGCATTGTCCAAAATATTTGTTTTCACTACACCGGGTGATATGGAGTTTACTCGAACACCTTTAGGAGCCAGTTCCAAGGCTATACTAGTAGTAAAATGCTCCAGAGCTGCAATCGTCGTTTGGTATGCTATACCTTTAAATGCACCTAACGAACGCATTTCTCCTGTAATGTTTATGATGTTTCCTTTTGTTTCCACTAAATCATTGGCGACACAATTAATCAAAAACACAACAGACCTGAGATTAGTTGCCATTACATCGTCAAATAGTTCAACTAAATTAGAATCGAATATACTAGTTGGCCTGTATATTCCCGCACAGTTGACAACAATATCAATTCTTCCAAATTCAGCTTTAGTGTTAGCTACAGCTTTTTTGATATCTTCTTCTTCACGTAACTCTGCAACTGTTGTGAGTACTTTAGCTCGAATTAACTTTTGGCATAGTGCACCAGTTTTCTTTAAATTCTCTTCATCTTTGTCAACAAGTGACAGTCTTGCCGTATATTTCGCAAACTGTAAACTTACAGCTTGACCGATTCCAGAACCAGCACCAGTCACCAAAACTACTTTATTAAGGAAACTCATTTTAGTTTAAAATCAGTAAATAGTGTTACACGTTCCGCGATTGCACTGCTACTGAGAATATGTAATACATACTTAAATTTATCATAATTATCTATGATAATCTTCTGAAGAATGATATTTAATCGATGACTTGTAAATCTATGCAGATAACAAAATGTGTTATCAATAAGGAAATTATTAAAATACGCAATCCGGTACACGGACAGTTACTAATAAACACAACAAAGTACAGTATTTTTTTTAACTATAACTTGATTACAGTACATTCAGTATAATGATTAGAAAAAATATGGCATAATTATTATCTCCTTCCATACTAACAAGAACAACATCTGTCACTCCCAAACATTTGGTTAAGAGAACCAATCATTGACCACTTAAGGTAATAAAATGTTATCGTTTTACTCGTCTGCTCTCCTTATTATGTAATCAAAATCGAATCAAATGTTAACCGTCAAACGTCATAAGAGAAATATAAACATTTTAAACGTATTAGCCTGAAGGGCAAACAGGAGGATGATTAGAATCAATACCACAAGTTATAGCCTGTAGTATTTTAAGATTGTAATTACTAGCAATCTAATCTAAAAACCAATCATACTTTCGTTGAATTATATAAACACTTGGAATAATAGAGAACATTACATCTCACGCAAAGAAAAACCAGTGTCGTGTGCCGTGCAAGCGACGATATCGTGTTGTTTACTGTGGATCATAAATGTGAAGTCATATCGCATACCGGACCACATAACGTACTCTACAAAATGCGCGCTGTACTAATAAATTCGATTATTAAAACTCTAAAAGACACTTAACCCATTTGGATCCGCCGTCCCCATATGGGGACAGGTTTTCTTTTACCCGCTGGTTATTAATTATTTTAGCTATCTTCACATTTCATGGGTATTTATAATGAGGAGTAGTGTACTTTCCTAAAATTATTAGAACTTTTGACAAATTGATACAAAAAAGGGGTCATATTGTCAATTTTATCAAGAGGAAGTGAAATGGGAATTATTATCGAAAGCAGAGGCGTTTTGTACTACGTTATTATGAAGATTTATAAAACTTTTTTGTGATTATTGCTTCCTTATAGTGTCAATTAAAACAATATTGAAGAATATCTTTATACTTTCAATTCCGCTTAGGGGAAAGTTAGAAAAAATGATGGTGTCCCCGTATGGGGACAATGGGCACATCTGTAGTATATTTTTAAAACATTTATACCTGATTTGTATTTTGTTTTCCAATTTATAAAGGTCACCTATAGACTAAACTTAGTTATAGCTAATACTTGGTAACAACAGACGCTAATTCACGAAGAGCATCACCAATTCCGCCATATCTTTAGGCGTTCATATTCTAAAATCTGGTGGGCATCAAGACCGAAGATGCAAAAGTACACCTACAGTACCAGGCGTCGCATCCGATATCAGAATTCAGCAGTAGAGGGCATTTCCTCCAGCTGTATTCTGGTGTCGTCACAGCGAAGTCCACCCAGAGGATAGAGTAGCATTATGCCCTGTATATGTTGACCACTGCCGTGTCTTCAGGGAAGTGATCGATGACGATAATCTTCCACGTCCAGCTTAGGTTCTGGCTGTGGTGTGGAGCGAGGGGAACTGGAAAACATCTCTTTCTGCGAAGCAGTCATAGTAGCAAGAACAGATCGCCGCCCAGAACCAAACCTGTACCTGTAAGGCGCGTGGCGTTACGCGCGTGCTTCAAAGTGCAGATCAGACCGCCTTAGATCGAGATGGCTCAGCGGGACAGATGCCCGACTACTATGAATAACCTAGTGGGTCACCGGGGCTTCGGCTTGAAGCAGAATTAGGAACGTGTTGGTTTTTAGCTAGTAAGAGTCCCCCAGGTGGAAAACGCAATGCGTGATTTTTACCCTCAAAAAAAATATAGGCGCGTCACATCAAATTGATTTAGACATTTTCCGCAGAGATTTAGTTAATATCTGTTACGACACGCAGTTCGCTATAAAAAAACTGTGATATCAATGCAAATAATGCGTTAGAACCTTATGTGTCGAAAACAGTTACCTACTACTTCGAAAAGTACTACACATGAGCCCATTGTCCCCAATCAAGGACGGCATTTTTTTTAATACTTCTAAATATATTTTTTGATTTTATTTTGCTGATATTAGTTTGTGGGCGTCATATCATTGAGTTAATAAAGTTTTTTTTATTAAATTATGTGTAGTTTGTATTTGGTCCCAAATGGGTTAACTTCCCCAACAGTTGATGGGAACCTTGAATACTAAGAACCCTTAAATCACAATAAACGAAAATTTGACAATATTAAAAAAATCCGATTTCGCCGAGGCATTGGTATAAAATGCCGGCAATCCGTAAAAGGAATTTCTCAGCCAATACCGATCGCTTGTACGAAATCGAGGAGCGTTCCTTTCAATCCTTTGTCGCAGCCATTTGATTAAAGTAAAGGGGCCGCAATCACATGCGAAGAGGTTTTGCGACTGAGGAAGTATCGCGTTTACAAATGGCGCACCGACTGCATTGTGACCGAGAAGCAGCCACCGAACGAAGAAGACTCCTAGTCGAAGGCAATTGAAGCCGGATGCCGGGACCTCGGTGCTCACTTGTTCGCGACACTCGACACCATGCCAAAGTAAATTGAAAACGCCGACATTGATACCTTTAAAGAATAAAAAAGGCGGCTGCTGAACACAATTATAATTCAACTAGGTGATAGGCGGGAAAGGATACACTTTGGATCATAAAGAACTTACTCAAGAAAGTGTCAGGAGTAAAGGTGCTAAGGTGTGGCCAGATCCGCCCATATAATTAACTACAAGAAAGATAGCAACCACCAATCGGCATCTTGGATCCGCGATAATAGAGATATTTATCTTTTAATCAGTCAAAAATTGGGCATATTGAGAAAGTTTTTTCTTTTCATTTACTTCATAACTAAACACTTATCGTACAAGCGGTGACAGCGACTATACTGTTGCATTTTATATGATGTGCTTTAAGATAAAAGAGCGATATAAAAGACAATCTTGCATACTTATTAAAACATAAATCGTGATGAACTTGAAAAACCACTTAAAGAGTTACAGTCCATTATACGAAACCCACGCTCACTAAAATCGGAAAAAATATTTCGCGCAAAAAGTCAACAAGACTAAGCGGTAATTCATCGCGGAACAACGTTCGGATCATTAACGAACTGAGGATTTACGATCACGTGCAAGGTGGTTGCGGGCGATGGAGAGCGCTGCGATGAGTTCCATCAGCGATGCAAGTAATTAAATCCTTAAACGAGTGTATAACAAGAATGTGTTTTTAAGCGTCGACGCAGCGAAGCGCTCTCGAAGCCAGCCGCGACACTTATTTACGATGAGTTTTCGCGGCGGGGGATACCGCGCCTAATTTCTCGGCGCGACGCGGTCTCGCGCGATTTATTTAAAATGAAATTCTTTTGTCGTACGCCCCGCTGAGCGACAATCGATAATGTGCCATCGGACCTAGATTGGTACGACTGGCCGATTAAGATACAAAACACCTTGCGATTCTTCTTGTTAAGATAATTGTTATAGTTAATGAGCTCCAATGAATAAATAATGTACTTACGATGGATGTTTTAATAGGAAAGACAATTCTAAATTTCGATATACATTTTAAAGAAAGATCGGAGTGCTGGTGCAAGTCATTTGTATTAATTTACCCGAATAATTGAAAATAATACGCCACGCTCTCGACTAAATGGGACTTACGGTAATAAAATTTGGAATAAATGATCCTTTCCTTTCGCAGGCCGTTGTGTAGATGAGTTGACACGTAAATACACTTAAACTGTGCCGCCATCACCTCATTTGGGTTCCATATTAAGTATCGTTTCATTTTAATTCGTTATCAAATTTCAATCAACAAGACCTAAATAATTTCTTTTTGTTTTCGTTTTATGACCTACTTGATAAAATGTAGTTGCTTAATATTATTAACATTCATATTTTAAAGTAAGAATATATAAAAGAAGCCGTTTATGTGTTACGTGCAATTGCCGCAAGTAAAAAAAAATGAATTCTTTGGAAGACACAAGCAATCTAATAAATGGGTTTTATTGGCGTGATCTCTTGATGTTTGGTGCTTTTTTTTTGTAATCCAAAAATAACTTATTATATCTTAACAAGCTTTAGTATAAGAATCATTAATTATCGAAATCGAAAGCGTCTGTATTATTGTCAGACAAGACGAATTAGTGCTGGTAGACAGACAGGAGTAATTAAAATAACACTAATTTCTCGCATGTTTGTGTCGCGTCAACATGGACAGAATTCATTAGTGGGGTGTCATGTGAAATCGTTCGCATCGACTCAATATCCGCAGACGCTGTAGTAATTACCAACGTGAACCTTACGCGCCACAATCAAAGAGTCAACTGTCAAACTTAATCGATTTACGCGTCAAACCAGCGCCCCGAGGTGTCCGAGTATGTTTAAGCAGATCCATCACTGCTAACGACTGGTAACTTCCTCATTGTGGAAAATTTTCACTCATCGTGACAACAATACCATTGGAGGTGGGCGTAGGGCAATCCTAACCATCATGTGTAGGTTGAACAATACGTTATTGTGAACTCGCGTATTAACTTTCATAGCGTATCTTAATGACGTATATTTACTCCATTTATTGCTAACAAATTGAAAATACAAGTCAAAGGTGGCATTTGATTTTGAATGTTTTTAATGTAACAGGTAGAGACTGATTGAACTGATAGTGATGTATTGAATTACAATTAACATATCACATCTAAGATCGGAGCTGCTTTAAGGTAGCGATAAGGTGGCAGCTGCCTGGGAAATATCAAGACACCTTTTAACGAGATTAAATCCTTCTGTGAATCTTTAGTAAAGGTAAATCTACATCTGTCTTAAAATCAAAGGGTTCAATTCAAACAAAGCTTTTAAAAGTATCTTCAGAAAATTTAAGAGGAACGAGTACTCGTATTTTCTTCAAAAATTCCCTTTTGCTGAGAATAAACGTATAACAGTTACATTTACGA